GTCGAATCCGTCGGGATCATCCAGGAGCGGAGTGGTGGGGCTCTCCAGCCGGTGATCCTCGGGAACGATGTCCAGATAGCACGGGGGGGCTGTGGGAATGCAGGGAGATATCCGTGAGCTCACCTGTGCACCCTCCTCTCCGAGCCCCTCGGGGTATTATATCCCCACGCTGTGATCCCACCTTGTGGATCCCACACCCCACTCACCCTCTGGAGCATCCGGGAGGTTCAGGTCGACCCAGCTCATCTCGGAACTGGTCTGACTGGCCATGCTGGAGCTGCGGCTCCCGATGCCCGAGCGGCTCCCAATGACCAGCGGCAGCTCCAGGATGATTTTCTTGGAGCCCGGGACGCTGACGTAGATCTGCAGGGGGAGAGCCGGGATTTAGGGGTGTTGGGACGGGATCGAGATCCCCAGGAGGGGGATTATGATGAGGAGGAGGAGGAGGAGGAGCAGAGGACCCCCCACTCACCTGCAGGAAATACTCCACACGCAGGATGTTGCAGCCCAGGATGGAGGGTTTGAGCTTGCGCACGCGGATGGTTTTGCCGCGCCAGGACTCGGAGGTGCCCGAGATGATGTGGTTGCCACGGACACAGGAGAGCTTCTGGCAGAAGACCTTGGTCTGGCCGTTGGCCAGGTAGGTGTGCTTGGCCACGATGGCCGCCTTGGGCACCACGATGCGCGAGCACGTGTTCTCAAAGTCCGCGTTGATGCAGATCTCGTCGCCTGCCGAGGCAAGGACCCGGCGTTAGGCACGTCGGGGCTTTCCCCTGCTGGTCCCACACTCACCTCCCTCCCCCCATTCTCTGTTCCCAGCGATCCTCACCTTCACAGAAGCCTTTCCTGTCGATCTGGGCGCTGACAGACACGCGTCCGTCCGGGATGAACATACAAGACACTTTCTTCTCCTTCTTGGCTGCAACTGGGGACTGTGGAGAGAGGGAACGGTCACACGCTGGCCCCATCCTGCCCTTCCCGCTCCCTCCTCCCTCGCTTCCTTCCTTCCCCTTTTCTTTGCAACCAAGCCTCAAGTTCCCCTTGAGGGGGAACCCACCTGGCCTGGTGTCGCTTTCTGGAATTATCCAGAGCTCCTTAATCCCACCCTTAATCCCGCTCAACCCAAAGCCGATTAGACACGCCTCGACACCCCGGGGTCGGGCTGACCCTCCCCAAGGGCTTTCCTCCCAAGGCCTTGGAGTACTCGAGGCTCACCAGCAATTCCGGGGTGTTCACATCCACGGGATCCATCACCTCGAAGCGTTTCTTGACCTGCTGGGTGGGGCAGGCAGGGCGCTCCAGGGATGCCTTCACCCAGTAATCCACGCAGCCGTACTTCCCCTTGAACGTGGTGCCCAGCGGCCTGCAGACACACAGGGGGTCACTCCAGGGCCCAAACAGGGATTTTCCAGTTTAATTCCACCCCCAGAGGCAGGTGCTGCCTCATACTCACCCCTGGGGCAGCTCGAAGCCGAACTTGTACTCGTACTTGTTCCCAGGCCTCAGGATGACGGAGCCGTCGTCATCTGTGGGAGAAAAGGGGAGGGAAACATCAGATGGAGCTCCAGGGTGATCCTCGGTTCCGCTTTCAGTGGTGACGGAACCAGAGGTGTTGAGTAACACCTGCCCCCACCCCGGGAACCCCGTGTCCTCTCAGTGCTGCTCCCTTCACCTCACCAACACCCTGCGGGGCAGAACACTGCGTCCCGCTGGCCCCACCCCACCCTCAGCTCCTCCTTATCTCCCAGCTCCAGCTGTCCCTCCTGGTTATCTTTTGGACTCTCTCCCAGTCCCCCTCTCCATACTTGGAGGAGGCTCCTTTCTGGGGTGTGATCCCTACGCCCCTCCTTGTGTCCTGTCACCAGCCCCTGCTTGTGGTGCCAGGACACACCACGGCAGCTCCCCAGCCTCTGATTTTGTCCCTCAGCTCCCCAACTTCGACTTGACTTGGCCAAACCCTCGGAAGTTCCTAAGTTGCGCTGGGTTTGGTCATTTCTCCCAGGCTCAAGGCACAGCATCGACTCCGTGTTGGTGACCAAGTGACCCACCACAGCCCCCACGGTGCCAACCCCGGGGGCATCCGAGGCTCTTTGCCCCCTCCCAACCCATCTGCCCTCGATCCAGCCCCACCGCAGCCCCCATGGGGCCAAGCCCAGGGGCACGGTTGGGTTGGGGGTACCCGTCCAGCCCCGTGCCCTCACCCGTGGGCTGCTCCTCCAGTGCCAGCACGTCCTCGAAGCGCAGGTACTCCATCTCCTGCCGGCACTGGGCCGGGCCCTTGGCCCAGGTCACTTTGGCCACCCCACACGCCAACACCTTGACGGCGTTGACGCGGGTCACCTCGGCCACCTCCACGACCACGCGCCCGGCCACCTTGTCCCCGCTGCAGTAGATCTTGTCGGGCTCGCTGAAGAGCACCGCGAAGCTCTTCACCTTCTTGAACATCACCATGGCTGGGGCAGCGCGGGGACGCAAAAAGCAAAGCTTGTGGGGCTTTATCGCCCTTGGAGCAAGAAAACCCGCCTGGGAGCCAGGCAAGTCGCAGGCACAAAGGTTGGT